ATTACTATATTATTTTATATTTGTAAGTGCTATATGGCACCCACAACAGCTTAAGGTTATATGAGCGCGCGGGACACATTAAACCTTTATCAATAGGTAGGAAATTTTTACTTTAGCCCGTGTGGCAGCTGAAGCCTGCTAGGCCTATTCATATCGATTTTAGGACCAGCAGGGATCTTTAACACGCGCATTTTGCACATGGGACCTTCAAGATTTTTCACACTTATTCGAAAAGGCTAGATCTAGGCTAGGTGTTACTGTTAGATCTTACCTACCATAATAACTTGCCATAAGACAAGTGAAGTAGAAATCTATAAGATCAAGGGTGTGGATGAAAGACAGCAGTGAGAAGGAGCTGAGCAGTAGCAGTAGAAAGGTAATATTCAGAGAGACATTATTCAAGAACAACATAACCATGCAACAGTTTGCAAACATGAGAAATTGAAAGACGTTTCAAGATTCAAGTTTCGTTTTTTCTCTCCCCTCGGCCCTCGGCCCTGCTTATTGTCATTATTGACACCGCCGCAAGGAACAAAGGCTGGATAAAAGGAAAGTAAAAGTGTGGAAAGTGCTAGATCTAGATCTAATTGAATATACCCAAATTCTATTTTTTTAAAGGGAGTAAAACGCACTAATATAGAAATATGCAAACAAACTTTTCACAAAGCTATCGCGGCAATGGAAGACTTGAATCCAAACAACAGGCAGTCGCCATTTTCGGCGATATTGACTGCTCGTTGCCAGGCACCCGACAGGGGAGGTAATTATTACTGAACTTCTGTGAAAATTTAAAACATGGACGAATAATTGACCAAAACAATAAATAAGCCGAGGCCTCACTTCTGCGTGTGTGTTGCTTTAATTAATCACTTTGCTAATACGGGGTGCCCACTACAGATGGGATCGGTGGATCGGGCCGATCGCCCGACTTGGTCGCTTAAAAAAATAAACGAGTTTGTTTTCAGTTCCAGGTAACGGAGTCGAACGATCGGCCCGATCCAGCCGTAATGGGCACCCCGTATAAGACCAGAGACTGTGGCGTTGTGGCCAAATCATAGCGTACTTTACTACGTAAGTAAAGAACGCCATGGGCCAAATACATTTTTCTTGGTTATTTCAAGCTGACAATCTGCTTTTACAGCATAGGCTTTTATAAAGGAGGTGAAATATCGGCATGGTTATTCGCAACAGAGAAAGAGACACACGGGAAGAAAGAAGGACAGAAACACACACACACAC